AATTAAAAAGCCCATAGGAATACATTGAAACCCCTTCAATGCGTTCCTATAGGCTTAAAACTTACCTTTTAAGCGAAAATCCTCCATACGGTGGCCATTTTAGCTGCCCGGTAAGCGAGGAATCCATCCCTGTTTTGCTCGGCGGCCATTTTGGAACCGCCGATCAGCTGGGGAAAAATCATCGCTATGTGAAAATCGGTAAGCGAAACAGCTTACTGATCATCGCAAAGCGATTTCCCCCATAGGAAACATCATTATGTGATCACAAAAGTGATCACAAATACTTCATTGCGATGCGGATTCATTGTTAAACGGGCTGCCCGTTATGTGAGGCACCACTGTATTGTTTTTATTCTGTTTATTATTGTTAGCTGCCCAGAGTAGGCTTCAGTCTGGATGGGTGGGGTCTAAATTTAGTTAAATAAATCCCAACAGTGTGTCACCATACCTTGCATTGCTTTTCCCTTGGGTATGATGTGCACTGTGCTGTGTATATGTGTATTAATTTTGGATTTCCTCTTTACCCAAGCCCAGCCTTTTTTTTTTTTGATAGAATGTAACATTAAGCCAGGCATGACTATATGTTGTTCTCTATGCAGCCAGTGAGACAGAAAAGAGACAGAAAAGCAAACAGGCAAGAGGCTATAAAAGTATGTTTTACGTACTTCCTGTTAGAGAATATCTTCCTTTATTTGTTAAATCAACCCTTGTCGGTAGCTGTATTTTTTTATCCTTATGCTGAGACATAATAATATCGGTTTCTACTTTTGTGTCATAGTAAATGGGCATTTGGATTTTCATATACCAATTATGAGGAACATGCTTTGAATAAATAAAATAAAATAAATTTCCAAACTGTGAAATAATAATTCAATAATTCTTCCAGTTAAGTATCTTGTCTTCATGAACACTTTCAACCTCCAAATACATGAGCCACAGTTTCAGCTACGCTGGCATGCTGGCTTTATATTTATTTTCTTATATACCTGATAGTGAATTATATTCTGTTTTCTCCAAAGAAATTTTGTTATTGTTGAAGTTCCAGTCCAGGTGTTATAAACATATAACCCTTCAATTCATTATAACCCCACCATGCATAACAACTGGCCTGGCATGACGAGGGATGTAGGTCAGCCTCTGGAGGACCACAGAGGCCCCACCCCAAGAGAATGGGAGTTCATCAATGTGACCGTTTCTTCTTAATACCGTATCTAAATGATCAAGTTTTGAAGTAATCAAAAATAAAACCATGTTCTATTGGACCAGAAACTGAGAATTATGATTATGGAAAGCTTTAAGAAACAATTCTTCTGTCTGCCTTCAATGGAAACAATACAGCATGTCATTATAACTGGTAGTGATTTTCTAAGGAACAGTCTAACTGAACTAGCATGCCTCTTGCACTGGGATTAAACCAGACAAGATGCCGAAATTGCATTTGGGAGCAGAGTTCCCTGAAGTGGTAAATGTCTGTTTGTCCTAGTATGAGCTTTTCTCATCTCTGTATCTTGCATGTAGCTTGCTTTGTTTCAGTGGTTGGTCATCAGGAGATAAACAGGGGGTTAATTTGCAAGACTGATTGCTCAGGTAGCAGCTGTGTGGAAATCCTGTTGCTAGAGGGCAAGGCGTGGTGGTGCTGCGGGCTAAACCGCAGAAGCCTTTGTGTGCTGCAGGGTCAGAAGACCAGCAGTCGTAAGATTGAATCCGCACAACGGAGTGAGCTCCCGTCGCTTTGTCCCAGCTTCTCGCCAGTCTAGCGGTTCGAAAGCATGCAAATGCAAGTAGATAAATAGGGACCACCTCGGTGGGAAGGTAAACAGCGTTCTGTGCATAGCCGCGCTGGCCATGTGACCTCGGAAACTGTCTTTGGACAAATGCTGGCTCTAAGGTTTGGAACCGGGGATGAGCACCGCCCCCTAGAGTCAGACATGACTGACTAAAATGTCAAGGGGAAACTTTACCTAGAGGGCAAGGCAAATATGTTAAGAGCTTCTAAATTCAAACTAAATGTCTTATCTGGTTTGACCCCTCCCCCCCGCCCTTGGATACTTTGAAGATGAACTGAGCATATTTTACATTGCTGCTTATCACTCAACTATATAATTTCATAGCCAATGTGGAAATACCCATTTACTATATTTTAGGAGTATCAGCATGCATAAGTACATGTTTGTGGCTGGTTTCCCTTTGTCTACTCCACGTTTTGGAACATTAATCGAGCTAGAAACAAACAGATGTTCAGAGAGACAGAAAAACAAAAAGGCAAGATGTTGTAAAAGTATGTTTTTAAACTTTCTCCTCTGACACCTGTTTCTTTAGACGACGTCAGTGTGAATTGCAGTGCAAAAGTGGAAATAAGCTCTGTTCTTCAAAGCATCATTTGTCTCTGACAACAGTTGTGTGAAGATGTGAGATGCGGCCAGGTGATGGAGATGTACCCACACCTTCTTAGTAGGTGTCTTAGCTGGATATTTTGTTCCTTCGAGGCTGGCATTTCCTGGAGTCAAACATCATTGGAAGCAGAATAGATTTTCCACAGTGTGTGTTGTGGACTTGCCATTTCTCCATGGGGATTCTTGTCAGGGTGGGAATCAGACTGCCGCTCTGTACCTACTTATCTGGGAGTCCCATTGATCTCAGTGAGGTGCACCTCTGAGAAGACATGTATAAAATCACACCATCGTTGTGGGAATGTGCAGTGTTAAGGCAAAGTGTGTCCATTTGAAATATATAATCAATACATAAACATGTATAATGATTCTTCTGATGGGTATTTTAGGTTGGAGGCCTAGCCTCTGAAAAGGTGAGATGGGCTGAATCGGTGAAAGACTTCAAGCTGCAAGAGAGTGCACTGTGTGGAGACGTCTTGCTGATCACGGCCTTTGTCTCCTACCTGGGTTATTTCAGCAAGAAGTACAGGCAGAATTTGATGAACAATGTCTGGAAACCATACTTGCACCAGCTAAAAGTGAGCATAATTGTCACATTTCTACATGCATCTCTCCTGTGTTTGAAGATTCTGTGCAGCTATGAATTTGAAGCCTTAGGTGGTGTGTGAGTTGTGTTGGAAACAGGTTTTGCATTGACATTAGGAAGTGCCTCACCAGTTGCTGACCATAAAGATCTTTCAGGAACATTTATTAACTTCTCCACACCGGCTTTGGATTAATAGTTCAGATGTCTTCATGTTTTATTTGTGTTGCTTGTGCTGAATAATTGACTTGTCCTCCCCTTTCATATTTTATTTCATTTTGCTTTCATCCATTACATTTATGGCTTAAATCCAAACAAAACAAAACACCCATATCACAAAATACATCTCTATATAGTTTATTATTATATCTTCAGTGAGATATCTTGTTGATTGAAAAGATATGATGTTCCTTAGTGATTCTATCCCCAAGCCTTCTGGCTAAGCACAGTCAGCTCCAGGGTGGCCTGGTGTGTCTTATGTGTCTTTTGAGAACCGAGAAGCGCAAACATTGCCTTACAGCACAACAGCAGACCTGTGGATGTGTTAATTACATTCTGCAAAAGTACATGGTGTAATCTGATCTTGTTCTATCAAACTGTCAGCTTAGCCTGCTGCAGGACTCATGCTTTGAGGCTATGATATCATTGGTTGGTTTTTGTATACAAAAGGACATAATGAAACACCGAGGCAGGAGAGGAGACATTGCCCCTACCGAGCCAGTGAGCCAGTTCTTTTTTTAGCCTTTGGGCTTTGGGTAATAAAGTTATGAGAAAGGTAGCTTAGCTGTATTGCAGCTAACATTGGACTTTCCTCAGTCTTGAACTAAAACTTTAAAATGCAAGTGTAATCGGCCCACTAGCTCCAGTACTAGAAAAGCAAACAAAAACAAAATCAGCTCTGGAACATGGCTTAGATATAATGGCTTGGAACCAAAGTCATAAACAAGAGCCAGATGGCATTTCTGGTCGGTCTGAATGTTCTGCACAAGTATGAGTATTTGCCATGCTGTTCTTAAATACCTCACTTATCTTGAAAACCCTTTCAGGGTTGTGATAAGTCAGTTCTGACTTGATGACCCATAACAACAGTTCATAATACTAATGTAGGTAGTATGAATTCATTGTGCCTGAACTTGGAACCTGAAAGAACTGACAGGATGGTATGTGTCTTTAACAGCCCCAGGTTGCCATCCCTATCACTCCTTCATTGGACCCTCTGAGGATGCTGACTGATGATGCTGACATAGCAGGTTGGCAGAATGAAGGGCTACCAGCTGACCGCATGTCCACTGAAAATGCTACTATTCTTACCAACTGTGAACGTTGGCCACTTATGGTTGACCCTCAGCTCCAAGGCATCAAATGGATCAAAAACAAGTATGGCGAAGACCTGAAAGTGACCCGGATTGGCCAGAAAGGGTAAGTAGCTGTGACTGAGCAAAGCAGCAGCGGAAACAGCTGAACAGTTGATTGTAGTGTCAGATTTGATGTATAACCTGCGGCAAACCGAAAATTGTAGGAGTCAATTGCATTTAGAGGTAAAGCTCTCCAATTTGGCAGCTATGCAGAAGTTCTGTGTATTAACCTGCTTTTTTTTTAATTACTGAGATTATACAGATTCCTGATTAAAAGGGGAGGAGCTGTGCAGAACCTGGCATGGTTGCCATAGAGACCTCTCTGAAACTGTGAATGTACAGAGGAGGAAGAGAATAAAGGAGGGTTGGCTGCTCTTGGCTGCCAACTTGCTGTGCCTCACATGGCATTTTCAGCGTGGAGTGTTTCAAGTCCTCTGCTGCTTCATCTTTCATATTTGGCTGCAAGGAAGAATCAGGCCTCCAAAGGGCAGCGGACTGAAAAGTGGTGCTTTTTTGAACCCTCAAAAGAAAGCACTTTTATTAGTGAACAGGGACGTAATGGAGATTGCTTCCAGATGGCTTCAGGAGTTGTCTTTGGAAGGATTTAGGAGAGAATTCAAAGACAGGCAAGCCTCACACAGGAAGCTGATTTTACCTAGTTCTTGTCATCTGTCAGTGAAGAAGGCTAGGGTAGTAGACTTTTCACAGGTTTTCACGGTGCTGATATTCAATGATTTCATTATCCTCAAGGAGCTTACCATATATTTCTCTTCTGTGCTTCTCTTAGCATGTTTACATATTATGTTAATATGCATTTGGATCTATGCTTTGGGTATTATGTGGCACAGATCTGACATTGCAATGGATGGGACTGCTTCTGCTTTCATCATTTTCCTGGCCCTCACTGTCCCTCAAGAAATATCCTACCAAACATATGTATAAAGAAAGCTATGTGGGAAGATGTAATATTATAGGAAACAAACTGAAATAATAGAAATAGTAGCAGAGTGGTTCTGTTGCTCACATGCCCCTTGAGTCAGATAATACAGCGTGAATCTTCCATTAGAACTAGTCTCTGATTCAACTGCCTACTGGATTAAAAAGTGCATTTAAAGTTTCAAAATATGCCATTCACGATGGTTTAGATAAATACCATATTTTTCTGTTTATAAGGCAACCCAATGTATAAGAAAACTCCCTCTTTTCTAACCCCCAAATTAGAAAATTTGAAAATTTGCACGATCACACCTCTTTGGTCTTGAAGCCCTTTCATGGCTGCTTTACTCTGTGGCTTTGCAAAAGCAGGGAAAGCAGCTGCCTTCCGTGTAGAAAACGACCCTCAATTTTTTTTGGTCTAATTATTTGAGTAAAAAGGGTCATTTTATACATGGAAAAATACAGTATTTTATTCCTACAGAAGACAGGTGACTTCTTACAGAGTATCCTGTTCGTGGAACATGTCCACTGAAAAGTTGCTTTTTGGATCACATACCCCAGAACCCATAGCTGCCTAGGGCATTCTGTACTTGAAGGTCAACATGGTAACTGTGAAAGCTCTTGTCTAGGCTACTCTTGCCTATTCTGTCTAGCAGCAGAGCTCTTTCCCCTTCCTGCTACCTGATCCTCTTAAAAGGAGGAACCAGGGATAGAATCTAGAACCTTATGAATGCAAAGCAGCTGCTGTACCAGCGCTGAGCTTTAGTCCTTCCACAGAAAGACATCTTCACAGAAGACTCTTCACGGAAGCTACCTCACCTCTTCTTACAGGCTGCAGACACAAACAGGGGTCTTCCATTTTTAATAATTGAGTGGGAGAAAGAATCGTGGCAGTTTCAGGGTCTGTATAGCAGGTTGCATACAGTCATGGCCAAAAATAATGGGCACCCTTGCAATTCTGTCAGAAAATGCAACTCCACTCTCAGAATACTGAACCTTCACATGTCCCTTGCAATTCTGTTAGAAAATGCAACTCTACTCTCAGAAAATTGAACCTTCACATGTTTGACTGTAGGGACTATGTTCTTTGAATGCGTCATTTCTTGTTCTGTATACGATGCCATGATGTTCTTTACCAAAAAGCTCTGCTTTTGTCTCATATGTCCACAGTACGTTCTCCCAGAAGGATTGTGGTTTGTCACATATGTTTTGGCATATTCCAATCTTGCCCTTTTATGCCTTTGCGTCAGCAGTGGTGTCTTCCTGGGTCTCCTACCATAGCATCCATTTTCATTCAGATGGCGATGGATAGTGCGAGCTGACACTGTTGTACCCTATGTCTGGAGATCAGCTTGAATTTGTTTGGAAGTTAATCTGGGTTCTGTATCCACCATTTGCACAACCCTTTGTTGTAATTTTTCAGTAATTTTGCTCTTCCGTCCATGTCCAGGTAGGTTAGCCTCTTGATAATATTGCACACAGTGGACACAAGAACATTAAGATCTCTGGAGATGGACGTGTAACCTTGAGGTTGTCGATGTTTTTCTACATTTTTTTCTCTCAAATCCACAGACAACTCTTTATACTTCATTCTTTTCTCCATGCTCAGTGTCACACACAACACAAAGGTTGAGTCAACTTTTCTCCATCTTAACTGGTTGCACGTGTGATTACTATATTACTATATTGCCCACACCTCTTACTTGTGACAGGTTTGTCTAAATACGAATTAAAGGCGCATCACATGCTTGAAAATCAATTATTTCTTACAATTCAGACAGGGTGCCAATAATTTTGGCCAGTGCATTTTTGGGTTTCTATGTAGGATTGTATCAGATTTGACTTTTTAAAATGTTGTTCCAACACAAACCAAAGAAATTAACATGTGAGTACCAAAACAATTGCAACAGCAACAATTTTCTGAGAAAGCTTGCATTTTCTGAGAGAATTGCAAGGGTGCCAATATTTTTGGTCATGACTGTATGTGGAAATTTATTATTCAAGACACCCATTGGAAATACAATAATCATTTTTCTTTTTAGCTAAACTCCATACCCAGCAATATTCGAAGTTGGACTTTCCTGACTTTTATTGATGTTGCTAATTTAGATCTTACATTGTAACCTGAGTCTAAACTGGCAGAAACTTAGCAGATTTGGGGTTGTGTGTTCAAGATTATGTATGTATGTATGTATGTATGTATGTATGTATGTATGTATGTATGTATGTATGTATGTATGTATGTAGGTAGGTAGGTAGGTAGGTAGGTAGGTAGGTAGGTAGGTAGGTAGGTAGGTAGGTAGGTAGGTAGGTAGGTAGGTAGGTAGGTAGGTAGGTAGGTATGTCCCTAAAAACGACTCAAGGCAGCTTACATCATTAAAAAATAATATTCAAAAGCTATAAAAATATTAAAAAGAAATTAAGCAAGTATTATATTAAAAGTAGTAAGTAAAATCAATCCTCAACATATTTAAAACAACAGAGCACAACAATCAATTTAAAAACCCCTCTCAGAGCATCAGCCATTAAGGATAAACCTGCCTGAATAAAAAGGTCTTTGCCTGCTTGTGGAAGGAGAACAAAGCTAGCCCAGCTTCCCCGTGGGAAGGAGTTCCAGAATACTTCTAATTACTGGTCCAGGAGACAAGATCAGCACATAAAATGTCAATGTTTGACTCAAAGTACCAATACACACAGAAAAGAGTTGAAGTATATACACCTGACACATAATATACTAAAAACTAATGTCATAGAACCTATTTCATACTTCAGATTAAATACTACCAGGAAAGTTTAATCTCTGATACACTATTCACCCTTTAACTTTTTTTACCCTTTAGCTTGAAAGAAGTGCATTCTCATAAATAAGTTAAGTCTTGTAAATTCAAGAATAAACCACCCCACAACTGACAAAAATGTTCGGCAAGACAGATGTTTCCAAAAAACCCATATACTGTATATATATATATTCATTTGGCAACTTATACAGATTAAAAGTTGCATCTGAAGAGGGAAATCAAGATTTCCTATGTCTTGTTACCTGCTTTTTGTCTTCAGTTTATCAGTGAATTGTTCCTTGATGTGGCATTCTAGTTTGATTGAAATGAAAGGGAGCTGTGTAGTCAATGCAAAGTACAAATGGATTTTCCCAGGTACAGTGGTGCCTCAACTTACAAACATCCCAATTTATTACCATTTTGAGTTACAACCAGCTCCGTCCGCAAAATTTTGCTTCAAATTGCAGCCGGAGCTTCCAGTTATGAATAGAAAAAGACAGTGGGAAAAGGTGGGAAATTCAAACTGCTAACCGTTGGTAGGCAAAGAGGCTGCGTCTTTGTAGCTCTTTTGCCCCAACGGTTAGAGTGATTGTGATCAGAGCAGGCTTCGACTGCCTGGTGAGGTAAGGTGCTTCTTTTTGCTTTAAAAAAAAAACTGTTCTGGGTGGGTTTTGAGCTGGGGGGTTTATGTTTCTGTGCTGTAATGGGTCTTGGGGGTTTGTTCTTTTGGTATCTTGCCCATTTCTGATGGGTCTTGGGGGGTTTGTTTGCTTTTTGGTTCCCCCCCCCCATTTCTGATGGGTTTTGGGGGGTTGTTTGCTTTTTGGGTTTTCCCCCATTTCCGATGGGTCTTGGGAGGTTTGTTTGCTTTTTAGGGGTTTTCCCTACATTTACATTGGGTCTTGGGGGTTTGGTTTCTTTCTGCTTTGCTTTTTTTGTATTTCCGATGGGTCTGGCACACTTCACTTGCTTTTTGCCTTGCTTTTTTGCATTTCTGTTGGGTCTTGCATGCTTTGCTCACTTTTTTTTTTCTTTCCCCCTTCGGCTGGAATGGATTAATCGTGTTTCCGATTTTCTTGCAGTGATTTTTTTATTTTTTATTTTTGGTGATTTTTTCCCCCTTCGGACAGAACAGATTAATTGCATTTCAGTGTGTTCCTATGGGAAATGGTGCTTCGACTTACAGCCATTTTGAGTTATGACCAGAATTCTGGAACCAATTAAGTTTGTAAGTTGAGGCACCACTGTATGTGTTTCTTAGATGTAAGTCAGGAATGATGCAGGATGTATTAGAGCTGTTCTTTCAAAGTTACAATTGAGGCAGCCGTGGATTGAATATCATACCATGCTTCTAGTTTGAATCATTTAAGTCAAAAGGATGTACTCTGATTTGTCACTTGGGTACACATTGTAGAATTTGGTGCCAATCTTTAGGGGGCGGGAATAGACCTACCTGCAGAGCACATTCAGATGTCAGAGTAAACTAGATGACTATGGGAATTCTGTCTTATTGAGGATAAATCAGCATGCTGGTTCCCACTTGCAGAGGGAGTGAATAAATTACTGGTAGTTATGGGCCCTGGTAGGCAAACCTGACAGCAGCTGGTGCTCTATTTTGTTCCTCTCCCAACAAGCCAAAGTGCCAGCTGCTGACAATCCCACAGGCCATGCTAAACAATTCATTGACGAAAGTGAAAGCTGGTGCAAGTATGCCACTCCTACACAGTGAGCTAGAGTGTTATCAAAAACTTTGGGTTAGCATGACATTCAAAGTGGGCATATACATTCTCATGGCCTTGGATAACACATTGTAAATGAAGAATTTGGGGTGTATCTGAACTCTAAAGATTTAGCTAAACATGGTGTGCTTAATGTGCTTTTAGGAAGCAAAATGCTGTCCTATACTGAGAATATAATAATAAAGGCACTAAATGAGCACAGTGTTCTTTCTTTCACTCTTATTACCACCTCCTTAATATATGTCAGCGGTGTTATAATTGTGGCTCTGCTTTTATATTTGAACTACTTCTCCAATTTTCTCTTTTATGACAATATCTACCTCTTTCACATTATCTTTCCTAGGTATCTGGACATAGTAGAGCAGGCTCTTGCTGCTGGTGAAGTTGTTCTAATTGAAAACTTGGAAGAATCTGTTGATCCAGTCTTAGGTCCATTGCTTGGTCGAGTGACAATTAAAAAAGGAAGGTAAGAGATTGGTAGATTACAGAGTTTCCCTTCTGTGGTAATTATCGTAGGAGTTACGAAAAAGTTTGTCTGCTTTCTGATGGCAGCTGCTACACTCTCCACTATTGGGTATATATTTCCAGTTCCTTGTGAACTTTCCCAGACCCCAAGACCCTTAGGCGGATCTGTTCCAAACCATGGTGGGAGAAACTCACATCTTCTAGGAGGCCCATCTCATCACTGGCATTGCTGTTTTGGAAATGAACTTTCCCAGACCCCAAGACCCTTAGGAGGATCTGCTCCAAACCATGGTAGGAGAAACTCACATCTTCTAGTAGGAGGCCCATCTCATCACTGGCACTACTGTTTTGGAATTTATGTATTGTTGGACAGTTCTGTGCTGCTTTAAAAACTATCTTGTATTCTATAACTAGCCACCTGTCCATATGGCTAGCCATGAAGGTGCACTGTGCTACTTTGAGCATTATGACAACAGTTCTCAGTGGCAGCTATGCCACTACCACTGCCACTGCCATGACCGCCACCACCACTGCAGTGGCCCATGAAAAGAGTTCTTGAGATTAACTGTACATCATATTCCCTTAACAACTGTGCTTGTTGAATCTGAGATGGACAGTGAACAACCATTCTTGAGCTATTGAATGCCACTTGTATAGTATTGCATAGCAGCAATTATTCCATAGTAACTTAGTACTCATGTATATTGTATCTAAATGTCAAGTAGAACATTGGTAGGATGATTTGCAGTGCTCCCTTCCCACATAATACAATAAGCTCTTTGGAATCTAATTAGGGGTGTTATATTGACCTGTGGATAATACAAAGACGACTGTGTTTTACTTTTAGGTACATTAAAATTGGAGATAAAGAATGTGAGTACAACAACAGATTCCGTCTAATTCTTCATACTAAGCTAGCAAACCCCCATTACCAACCAGAAATGCAGGCACAGTGCACCCTTATCAACTTCACAGTGACTCGGGACGGCCTAGAAGACCAGCTGCTGGCAGGTGTTGTTAGTATGGAGAGGCCTGACCTTGAAGAACTAAAGGTGAGTTGCAGAAATCTTTTGCCTCTATGATTCTTTTCTCCAGATAAATTGTTGCAGCCCTTCATTCTGTCACTAATTTGGAAACTGCTGGATAGCTCAAAGATTGGCTCTTCTCACTGACAGTGGAGTGAGCAGGGTTACCCTTGATATAATTTATGCCTGCTCCTATTTATGAGAAGAAAGGCTGCAGTGAAGACGAAAGTGTCTTACACATCTGGACTGTACTTCCAGTCCTGGCAGTTAAAGTTGCCTAGAATTTGCTAGAACATCACTTTACAAAAGCAGCTAGAAAACTTGATAACTGCAGAGTTGCTCCCTCAATTAATATGTGTGATGGTGGCTTTGCTTATTCTGATATCTTTTTGGAGGACCCTCCAATGCCAAGAATGCATACTCAAAAGGCACCATGTTGCGAAGTATTTATCCCTTAACACATTTTATTTGCTCTTTTGGAGGGAAGAGATATACATTATATATGATATCTTTTGCCTCGGATTCATGTCATTATTTCTTCTATAGACCACCCCCAGATTGTCACACCAAAACGTACAACATTCTTCTGCCCAAAGCCACAAGGCACCAACTATTGGGAAAAAACTCCAAGAATGTCAGATCTCTGGTGATTCCTGCATGGTGCCACTTCTCCAGCCATTTTCCTATGCACCATCTGCCACTAAAGTAAATTCCAAACCCTAAGGAGCCTGCAGTGTCCGACTGGACCTTAAGCGTCTTGTCTCCTCTCCAAAAGGAAATGTCATTGCCCTCAGTTAGGAACTAACCCCAAACCTTCAAATTCTCTCTCATACCATACATAACTCTAGTCCCGTGAAATAGGCGATGGAGCCCTTTCATTGCCTTGCAAAGCCACGCAGAAAGGCGCGACTCGGCACCATGACTCTACAAACAAAATTTAAATGTCCTACCATCTCCTGAAGCTCCCTCAGGGACACTTTTTTCTTATGCAACATCGAGGCTACCCTGACCTCAAGGTCAGCCAACCTAATGTCTGGCAGCCTAGATGTTTGCTGTGCTATGTCCGCTTCAATGCCTGAGAGCATCAGGGACATGGTTGATCCCTCCGTTTTTCCTCAACCAGAGGTAAACCTAACTCTTCTGCCATTGAACGAAAGGTATCCAGTATGAATTTACACCTTCCCATATTCCTTTCACCACAAAAAAGATAAGCATCCCAATATAGGGCTGTAGGTACATTCCACTCTACACCTAAGTTTCCACTCAAGAATTTCCTGAGGGATGGCATTGATAACCGACTCCCGCTTGGAGCAGGACAGATGTATTGATCTAAACTCACCTTGTGCCTTCTTTGTTACTACTTCCAGTGGTTAGACCCACAAGGTCTCCAATTGAGCTGTTGCAAATGGTTCCAGCATTCTCCTTCCTGTACTTCTTTAGCCATCTTTACTCAAATGCAGCCTCCATGACGCATACAGATTTAAGGTTTTGGGCAAAGAATGCCTTGCGCTCCCCTACTGCCTGTATCCTAAAGCCTTTCCTAAAAACTCTCCAGTAAGTAACTTGCCCTGCTCTTACACGGGGATTCTGACTCACGGCAGCATTTCTAGTAAGGTGTTCAATATTGATCGACTCACCAGACAGAGGCATCGTTGCAACTGACTCCTCACTGCTGTACATGGAGTCCAGACCAACCTTGCCCATTGCCCCCTGCCTGCTACCAGCCGCTGTACCGACTGCTGCCGTGATCAGGGTCGATTTCCCTTCCTCGGTGCACTGCTGCAGAGGTGTTACTGCTCCCCCATTTGCCTCACATCTGGATGTCTTCTCTGCCTGTTGCTCCACTTCTAGGACAGCAAACGTAGACATTAGATTATCAGCTATAACCCTGAGCTTAGCCCTGCAGTGACTCTTAGCCTCCATAGCCAAGCCTTCCAAGGCCGTGGGGCCTGTCTCACCAAATTTCTTCAGCCAGGGACAAGCGGGTTGTAGTGGCTGGGAAGACTGAGGGTGATAAGATAGGTGCAGCTGGAGTCTCCTCCGAGGGTGATAAAGCGTATTCCGGTTTGCGGGAAAGGGTGTCGGCTTTTCGATTCTGGGTTTGCGGGATATAGGTAATGCGGAAGTCAAACCAGGAGTAGAAGAGGCACCACATGATCTGAATTTGATTGAGGTGTCGGGCTGTTTGCAACTGTTCCGGCTTCCGGTGGTCAGTCAAAACTTGGACAGGGTGACAGGCTCCTTCAAGGTAATGCCTCCAGACATCAAAAGCAGTTTTGATGGCCAGGAGTTCCCACTCTCAGAGGGTGTAGTTGCATTCTGAAGGTGTTAACTGCCATGAGTAAAAAGCACAGGGCTTCAGTGACTGTGAGGGACACTCCTGCACCCAGGCCACACTGGAGGCAGCCGTCTCCACGGTAAATGGTATTTGAGACCAACCTTGCCCATCGCCCCCTGTCTGCTACCAGCCGCTGTACTGACTGCTGCCGTGATCAGGGTTGATTTCCCTTCCTCGGTGCACTGCTGCAGAGGTGTTACTGCTCCCCCATTTGCCTCACATCTGGATGTCTTCTCTGCCTGTTGCTCCACTTCTAGGACAGCAAATGTAGACATTAGATTATCAGCTATAACCCTGAGCTTAGCCCTGCGGTGACTCTTAGCCTCCATAGCCAAGCCTTCCAAGGCCGTGGGGCCTGTCTCACCAAATTTCTTCAGCCAGGGACAAGCGGGTTGGTCTTGTAGTCGTTGATAGATAGAGAGATAAAACTTTATTATGGTCAAAGACCAGCCATGTAGTCATTGTAAGACCTGGCGAATGTGTTCTGTGTGTCGAGTGGGGTTTCGGGAGTAAGTAAAAATGTCATCCAAATAGATTAACGCAAAGCGATAGAGTTGGCCTTGGAAGATGACGTTCATGAACCACTGGAATATGTCTGGACTATTTGTCAAGCCGAAAGGTATGACCAGGTATTCGTGCTGGCCATAACGAGTCCCAAAAGCCGTCTTCCACTCGTCGCCTGCACGAATTCTCACCAAATTGTAGGCGCCACAGAGGTTACTAGTTATTTGAACAGAAACTCACAGGAAAAAAAGTTTCTTAATGAAAAATGTGACCTTATTCGTTGCTTAATTTTCAAGCTTACTATATATTTTATGATTACATCTTCCTGGCTTGCCCAGTAAAAAAAAAATCTCTCAATAACATCCATGTGTATATCATTTTTAAAAAGGCAGTTTGTCAAATTAAAATAAATCTGTAGCACTGGAAGGAGCTGAATCTCCAGTGACTATGATCTTCTGATTTATTTATTTGCAAATTAAGAACAGTGTGCAAGTAGGCAGAATCAACTCTGTATAAATACTGTGCTGAGGGAACACTGAAACAGAGAGAAAGTAGTATTTACTTAACATGCTTCATGTGCATATTATATCTTATGATATAATAGACGTCTCTCTGCAAACCTTAAGGAAGCAGAGAAATCAAGAAGAATGAATGTAGGACTGGAAAATGCTCAGAGGAGGCAGATACCTCTTGAGTCTGGGATCACTGAGGATTCTAGTATTCCAAATGGTCAAAGAGAAAGAGAGGCTGTCTTGTGGCATTTCTTAAAGACTACAAAGTTATTCTGACATAAGCTGTAGTGAACCTGAGCACATTTCATTAGATACAAGTGTTACCTTCAGATGGCAAATATATAAAGGGGTGTACAGGGCAAATTGAAACATTGCCAACAGTGAAATGCAGGAGTCTGTAGTCTATGACATTTCAAAGCTCAGATGGACACAAGATAAACCTAAGAAATGACAGGTTATTTGTCCAGGGCTGCAATTCTCAGGCTGTGTTCTGGTACAGCTTGTAATTCTTTGGAAGTTTGCAGGGTTGGTGATGGTGGTGTTTCCTCAGTGGAAAGATCAGAATGACAGAAATGCACATGATTCTCTGAAAGGTAGTTTTTAAAAATTAAATTTTATTAATTTTAAAACAAAAAACTGTTACAACAACAAAAATAGAAAAATAGAAAAATACAAATAATATGCTGTTTTAGACTACATTCTAACGTGCACCCCATACCCACGGGACCCCATTGAACAATTTTTATTGCAGATTTCCTTTCCAAAATTGTATACATTGTTGTTTAGAGGCTTTCCCCTTTCCTTTCACTAATACTACTCTGAAAGGTAGTTTGTCCCTAGTTTATTGATTGCTGCCTGAAATCTACAGGTGCAGGGGACAATGCTGTGGATTTTAGGACAGAACAGTGGTGCCCTGTGGACACAGTCCACACCGTATGAACTGAATGGGCTTGCCTAGAATCATCTGTGAGGCACAGCTATTCATCTCTGTCAGCTGTGAATCCTAAAATTTGCGAATCCCTCTGAAACCTATGCCGGAATTTTGCAACTATCTCCCAGTGTTTTGCTGTGCAAATTCTGCATTTTGCAGCATTCTCCAAAAAGGTGCAACGGAGAGGTCAAATATCATGATTAACACCCCACAATCAAAGGTTGTCCCTTTTACACTATACCTCTGCAAAGGTTTTGCAGTCAGTTTGAAATGCCCCATTTTACAATGCCCCATTTTACACTGCAGTAAACTCTGGAAGGCCCACTGGTGAGTGATGAAGATTAGATAAGCTGGTGTCCAGTTCCCATGGCAGTGCTGTACTGATCCCAATCAACTGTAGTGGTTATTAGTAAACAGTAAAAACAAGTGCACAAAATACATTCATGCATTTCATATATGGTCCTGTTTTGATCTTGAGATGAGGATCCTGAAGAGTTATTGCTGTAATGGAAATGTCAATGGAATGTGACTGGGGTGGGGTGGGAGTGGGGGACGTCCTCAGTGAGTGCCCCGAAACCTACATGAGTGAGCTGGGAAACCTTCCAGAACAGGTTTTCTGGGCAGCAAGCCAAGAGGGAGGAGAAGAAAGTACTGCCTTACTAACAAATGATTGCTTGTGAAGTACTGGATTAAGCATTAAGTGTCTGAGCTGGAGAGTCTAAGTCTGAAATCTTGCTTCAGCTGGGGGCTTGGTAGTGGCCATAGGCAAGTCCCTATTTGCTCAGCTTCAGCCTTTCCCTCATTTGCAACATGGAAAGCCAGCATGAACTTTCAATATTCAGGGTGCGATCCGATAGTGAGAAAGGATTACGTCTGGTCACACTGGAAAGGTTGCTCTGCTGGAAGATATCTCCTTAAAAACAACACTTCCATTTGTGTGGGAATTGCTTCCAGTCCCAAAAAAGAGTAGCCCTGCCAGGGTCTAGCTTGGGCATGAATCGGTGTCAGGGTAGATCACTATTTGCCAGTACAGCCTTTGATTGCTGGGAAATAAACCACAGTCCAAAATGGGAGCGACTTCCCCGTCCAATCACACCCTCAGTTTCTGTAAGGATTAGTGAGATAACGTTTGCTGAGAAAATGAAGATAACTTTGACTTAATTTGTTTTGGGGGTCTCGACCTCAATTCTTTACAGTCTGATCTTACAAAACAGCAGAATGGATTCAAAATAACATTGAAAACCTTGGAAGACAACTTGCTGTCCCGCCTTTCTTCTGCCTCAGGGAACTTCTTAGGGGACACAGCTCTAGTGGAAAATCTTGAAATCACCAAGCAGACAGCTGCAGAAATTGAAGAAAAGGTAAAAAAAAAATATAACACTAGGACTGAATGTTGTGGGTGGTGGTTAGCTCAAATCTTTATGCATGAAATTTGTGGTAAGAGATTAAGAGTGAGTATGAATTTTAAGTTCTATGCCAGATTGTCTTGTTTTGCACCTTGGAGGCTAGAATCTCTTCAAAGTCATGTATTCCATCTAGAGAGGGGGGTATTCGTATACAAATACAAATATCCCCCCCCCGCACAGGTAGAAATAATGAGGGTTATTTTGCCACTCACCGATTTTGCCACTGATGTGAGTTCGATGGGGCCTTCCTATCCTGTCATTGTCTACAATAGATTAGCCACTCCTGGCAGTAGGTGGGATGACAAGCCTCTCTGCCATAACCCTTGTAATTTCCACCTGCGGGGGGGGGGGGAATATTCATATATGAATACAAACACCTCCAACTCTAGGACTTTAGAAAGCTTGTTTTTTCAAAGTGCATGCATGTTAAATGGGTAATTGAAAGCAAAGTTCCACTGTTTGTAAAGACCATAACACTTTAGAAATAAAGCAAGATGTGTTAAACCATTCCAGTTTAATACAACGTGTTTTTTTTAAAAAATTAACTTAATTTAATTCAAAATGTATTAAATTTCCTCAGTTAATCCAGGATTTTAGCAGAAGCTGCCTTAAGGATCCACTGGTCTTTATGTGGTCCAAATTAAACTGGCAGGAATTCAGTGGTCTGGTGGTGGTGCTACTCTCTTGGCTGAAAATTTGGCTTTTGAAATCATCTCCTTTGATGACTGTCTGACATAGATCCTTTACTTAGCAAACCTCAGCTGCTGCTTTCATATGCAAGAAGTTTTGTGGAGCCCTGGAAAAATGTACTGCCAAGTTGTCTTTCTGTACAGAATATAGACTCCTTGCAGAGCAGGCTTATCTGAGATATAAATAATGTAGATTTTCAGAGACTGGTGCTAAAGTTCGTATATGTCTCCTTTGGGGAGTCATTATCACACAAGTTAGTAGAAAAGTCAGGTGCACATCTCTATTTTAAAAGGCATAAAAATATAATATAGGTGGAAGAACAGGAATTTTATGGTTCAGGGTTAAATAACGTGCTGTATTAAATATTCAGTGTGTAGTGGAGATTTCCTTTCTCTTTTGCTCGTGGGTAAGCATGTGGGCAGGATAGGTTTAAATCTTTCCTTCCTGCTGATTCCTCCGTCCTCACCCCTGCCATGTGTAGGCTAAAATCCATGGTCCCAACAGAGTTTTGTTTCTCTTAACCACCAGTTGCAAGAGAGTAAAGAGAACAAGAGCAAGTCCCTGCTGCTTGCTACATATCTAATGTGGTGCCTGCTTTAATCCTAAAGTCATTTTGAAGGAAGGAAGTAGAACCCGTTGTCAACAGACGAAAATCAAATGGAAGTCCATTTCTTGATGATAAGTTTAAGATGAATGCCTTTTTCTCTCCACCTGCCACTGCTTGAGTTTTCATTCCTGGGAGTTTCAAAAAGGCAGCTAGAAGCAAGCAGAAGAGGACGCAGGGATGCCTAAGTTATCTAAGATGATCAGCTGATGTCATGCCGTCACCATGTAAACAAACAGCATTGGCAAACTTACATTCTTGATGCTGTCTTTACTCTCCTCCAGGTCCAGGAATCCAAGGTGACAGAAACGAAGATTAACGAGGCAAGGGAGCATTACCGCCCTGCAGCAGCCCGTGCTTCTCTTCTGTACTTCATCATGAATGACCTCAGTACCATCCATCCCATGTACCAGTTCTCCCTAAAGGTATAGCCCTTGCTCATTTTAGGATTGTCTCAAGCTCCCCAGATAGTTTACAGAGCGCACGTTTCATGCTAAGTTTAAACCTTAACAGATTCTAAGCAAAATGCTAATTGTCCTCATGAAACCACTTGCCAGAGAGCTGTTTCTTCCCAAATACAGCATCCTGTGGCTCTGTATTTTCTCCTTACTTTTTAAGCATAGGAGTTTCTACTGTAGGATTGGCTGCCTGAATCCTTTGCAGCTGTAAATACTCGGGGACCAGCTTATGTCAGGCATTTCCATCACCTAGCTGAAATTGCTCAAGATCTGCAATTTTTGCTGACCTTTCCAGTTCTACTCCTACCAAGAGAAGTCAAGCCGGCATAGTCTTTGGTATTCTAATGAGAGAAAAGCCTCCCAAGCCAGCCTTTTGTGACCTGCTCTTTTGCCTGCTCTTAAACATGTGGACTTAAAACTATTTTATTCCAATGGACATTTTTCAGTTATGGCCTTGAGAAGATTTATTTTTTAAAAAAATTACTAAGCACCGTTTGTTGGTACTTGTTATATAGCTGCTGGTTTCTTTGTTTTTAGTTTAGATGGTGGTGGTTGGACATAGTATTTTTTAAAGCTTCTTCTTTTTGGTTAATGAGTCCTTCCAATGACACCTTCAGGATACTGAGGTGTAGGAGGACAGGATATGGATAGTGAAGTAAGTAAGTAAGTATACAGATGGACAGCCTTACAAAACATGTGCTTCAGGTTCAGCGCAGCCTAAAGTAATAAAGAGAATGTGTGTGGTGCAATGATCTGTGGCAATGGCCAATTGCCTGTTTCCTGAGGACAAATTTGTAGCCAGTATTCTAGTTTTGCATGAAGGGCTCTTGCCTGTAATTGATTAAGGTGGGTATCCTCCAGTTATCAGTATGTCAGGTTTATGTAGCCATATCCACTGAGAGACAACACCTTATTTAGGAACTGCCATGTTTCTATTATTTTTTTTTTTAAGAAATGGGCATGCACTTATTTCCCTCACACAGGATGTACATACTGTCCCTCTAGATTGCCATTCTGTTACAAGGATATAAAACTGTTTTAGTTAGGCATCCTTCAGCCTCGAAAGACTATGGTAACGTGCTCTGTAAGGAGGACTTGAAACAACATCTAGTGTGGCTGAGGAGGCCAATTCGAGAGTGACAATCCCTTCCACACTGAAGACAAATGCAATCTGTCCCCTGTCCAGCTCCCTGATTTTTTTTGCTTTTGTGACTGGCTCTTGGCCTCAGCCTGCTGGACAAGGGTCTCTTCAAATTGGGAGAGGCCGTGATGCAATGCCTGCCTCCACGCTGAACGCTCAGATGTCAAAGTTTCCCATCTGTTTAGGTCCATTTCCTAGGCCTTCAGATCCTGCTTGCAGATGTCCGTGTATCACAGCTGTGTCTCCCTCTGGGGCTATTTCCCTGCACTAATTCTCCTTACAGGAGATCTTTTGGAATCCAACCTTCAGCCATTCTCATGACATGCCCTATATAAAACTGTAGCCATGATTAAAACAGGGTTCTCTCCCCCTCCCCAGTTGAAAGAGATTCCTCTGCCATTGTGGTTGCCCTGGAACACATTCCTATGCAAATGTCACAGGCAGCTTCTAGGTAGGGCTCACTGACAGCAGTACAGAACTCCTCCTGAATAATTTCTAAAGGCACATTTAATTTGCTTTTTAATTTGCAAAACTGCTTCTTAGTTGGAGCACTTCTTTGCTTGGGAATGGCCCAATCGCTCTCTCGCGCCCCCCACCCCCACCCCAGGGTGGGAAGCAAAGAGTTGCATCCTCCTAATCTCATGGAAGAGGAGGAGGAGGAGGAGGAGGAAAGGGTTAGTACCTAAGCTCCACAGGGTGCAAAATGTAGCTGGTATGACTCAGTAGATGCCTCTGTGCCTGGCAGCAAGGAGTCTTCAGACATTACGGGAGTTATAAGGAGGAAAATATTCTGTGTCCTGTTCCCTAATCAAATCTACCACAGCGTCTAGCTCTCAGGACCCCTCAGAGAAATTCCTGGGTCTGAAGAACTTCACCAAGCAGATCTCCAGTGTGAACCTTTTCTAGAGGTGGGGCAGTGGCAGAATCACTTCACTCTACCTTATGATAGGGATGGTCCTGTATTTCGTTACAACTTGTGTTTATTCTAAAAAACAAACAAGCAAAGGGTAACATACCTTGGTGAACATACTCACTGATGCAGCAATCCACTGAAGCTGTAGGATTTTCCTTATTGTAATATAATGACAGTTGGCTGGGTAGCTCAGTGGCTTAGGTGTCTGGTGGGGGGGCCAAAGGTTGGCAACTCAGTTCCTCCTGCACCTAGAGCCAGTTTGTGGGGCCTCCAGCAAGCAGCAGAGTCCCAGGGCAGCCCCGGAAGAAGGGAAGGGCAAGCCACTTCTGACTAATTTCTGTCTAGAAAAGGGGTTGCCAAAAGTCAGGATTGACTTGACAGCCGATGATTATGAATATAATCACAGTGTGATTGCGTTGAAGAATCAATCTGCAAAATTACAGGACTGAGAGGTCCAGCATGACTGTTTCAGTATTGTTCAGTAGCCAAGGGTGACAGCCATTTCTTTTGCTGTAGGGAATTGTGGGGGGGGAAAAACCTCCCAGAAAGACTAGGAAATAATTAAAAATTAGACTAGAAAACTACCTTGTGAGAACTATCATGGATAAATTTTCAGAACGATAGCTATGTCAACAACAATAACAGCAACAACAAAAGTCAGGTGACAACGTTGAGACTTGTGCATTTATTATATTTACTATTCCATTTATTTATTTCATTTCTCTCTCTATTTCAATCCACTTAATGTGTCTGAAGAAGAAGATTCAATCCACATCCATTTCAAACTGAAATGCATTTTTTATTCTGACAGGTGCTAATAAATCTTCTGTTTTCATTTTTTGTTATTTTAGAGAAGGTGACATAGGGTCAAATGACATGATACGTTTATACTTGTATGTACAAAAGTTTCTCCCTCTGATGATGAAAAAGTCATCTACTTGTCATTGCACGTGTTTTCCTCACTTCTGCATTTTGCATTTTGTTTAGTTTGTTTTGTGATTGATCATCAGGAAGTAAACATGGACTTTCTGTGCATGTTTGATTGCTGAGGCACATCATCAGAGGCATTTTAATTGCTGAAAATAGGTGTTTATCTTAACATCCAAATTAACTCTCCTTCCCACCCCACCCCACCCCCCCACCCCGTAAGCCAAAGGAATGGGATAAACTACAGTACAGGCAAGTGGTAAGAAGGAGAGCTTGGAGAAGTGAGATAGATAAACTTTGAGAATGAGAAGTAGAGAGGGAGAGAGACGGGAAGAGAAACAGAGACAGGAAGCTAAAAATTAAGCATGTTGCAGAGATCTGAGCTGCTTCTTTGCTGGGAAAGGTGTTACAGATTTTTTTACTTGTCGGAATGCTGGAACAGTTGGCATCAATACTCAGTTTATAGATTTGTAAATCCACAGCTGGCCAATAAAATGTCACGAAACAGTGAGCACATTTTCAGTTTTTCTAGAACTCTTCCTTGGCTAGAAGATGCAAAATACAAGGGGGTGGGGTGGGGGAACAAAAATATATCCCGTGATCTCAGCTTTCAATGCAAGTCAACTCCTGGGTAGAAGTGGAATCAGCGATGCTGTTCTCTTAAGGATGATGGTCTCCTTTTCTCTAGATCCTCTGGCACCATTCTCCATTATATTTAAAGACCAAAGAGGTGTTACCTTGCCTAGGAATGCTAATAAGGAAAATGTCACCATCCCACAGAACGTCCAGTAAACTGGGAGGAAGCAGTGGAACAGACGGTGGATCTATAGCTCTTACTGGTTTCCCCAGTTCCTCCTTAACAATAGTATACATTTGGTAGGAGAGCATTTACTGCACTGTCCCCCTCACAGATTCACATGTGTTCTCTCACTCTACATCTATTCTTATCATGCAGGCAGCACAAAAGAGAGGGTGAGGTAACATGAGTCCAGACCATCAGCTAAAAAGGGAAAAACTGCTGCCAAAAGAAGGGGGGAAGGGTAGGCCTGATTCAGTGTTCTGAAATCAACTTCCATACATTTGGGATGATGTATGATGGAAGGACACTCTGGGGTTGTTTGTTTGTGTTCCTTGCATTTTATGCCTTCAGAATATGATGGGTTAAATGAGGAGTTGCCCTGAATCAATTCGTTTAGAAGATCCTAAGCTTCTTGTAGAAATCTGCTGAATCAAAGATAATGCTGCTTTATAGAAGACTGGTGGAAAAGCGGTTTCTAATGTTGTTGTATTGACCCTCCACAAGAGATTTAAGCATATTTTTACAATCTGCAGTAACTCACGTTAGAGAAAGCTTTTGAGAACGTTTAAAGAAAAAAAAACTGCCCTATGAGTAATTTAGTAATATTTTCTGTCTAGACATAATACTTTTATAAACTACAGATAGTTTGGAGGTGTCTCTCTCCCCCCCCCCCCGGTATATTTTCACTCCTAAGAAGCAGCTTTTCCCTAAGGGTTAGAGGTGTGCGTTGTCTGATATTTAAGAGAATTAGTTTTTAAAATTTCAAGTCAAATGCTAGCTTTTCCATCCCCAAACATTTTTCTACTTTTTTTTTTCCTATAAGGACTTACAGGTATCTTATTTGTTTTAAATTCTATTTCTATTTCTGATAATCTCAGTTCTAACAAGAAAACCCTCAAGGGAGCCTCATGTGAAAAATCTAATTCCTACAGTCTTCAATAACATGTACCCATTGCTTTAGTTGCTGTAAAGACAGAAACATTTTTCTTTTATTGAAGTTTACCATGTGAGGTGCCTCTAGAGAAGATATAATGAGAGGTGTCTTTTCCCCAGGGAATCCAGTGTCCTTCAGAACATCATTTTTAGAGGAGTCAATCTGTTGCCAGGAAAAAGTGGATATTTTGTGCTTCTGTAACACTTGCATCAGACATCATATCTTCATTCATTTATCTTTTCTGGCTTGGAACAAGCAGTGCATTCTGCACACTGTAAAAGAAACATTTTTAACCATATCTGTTTATAATACACAAATATATTATTTGTCCTGCAGTATGATAATTATAAAGCTGCTCAAATAGAGTTTGAGTCACCTAAGTTTTTATTTATAGGTTAAATCATGATACCTAGAAAGTTGATTATAGGATGGCTGATAGGAGAGACTGTTGTGACACATGAAAGGCATAACTAAGGAGGTAACAAATGCTCATTTTTTTAAAAAAATCCTTAACAAAAAAAGGTTATCTGGACATCAAGGCACCCCACTGAAAAAAGGGTCAACCTCTGTCATTTTTATATATATATTTGCACACATAAAAATGTGTTATGAAGAAAAACTTGTTTTCTGTTTTAAAAACTGCTTGTATTTTGCGCAAAAAGCACTTCCATAATCCCTTTTGGAAATAAAGTTTAGAAATATGAACAATGGATAAACACTCTTGGAATCTGGTCTAGCAAGAAGAAGATTTTTAAATCCATTGTTTTCCCCTGTGAGAACAAAATAAGCGAAGATTTATATTCCTAGCTAAAAGTTTAAGATGTTGTCTGGACAGTGATGCTGCAAGTTGATGGTGTGAGGAAAGCCTTATCTGGAAGCACCTTGAGATCTACTGGCAAGAAAGAACTAGACAGGGAAAAATGTTTTGAAATCAGGGACACCCTGTTATAGCTTTTGTAATTGCACAGAAGGCAATATTTTACTATGAAGAGCTTTGTCTGTCACTGCCTTATTCTACTAAGGTGAAACTGGGGTAAATGGTATCAGTTGCATGCATGAATTTGTTCCCCGTCATCCTGTTTTCAGGTAAAGTGCTTTATTTAGAACTTCAGCGCAGCACTGGCTGGAACTAATGAGCCACATCTGCCAGGCAATGGGAAAAAAGCAACATGGACCCAACTCAGCTTCCTTAATATGGCAGACAACCTTTTCTCCCTAATTTTCCCTTTTCTCACTGTTGTGTCAGTGCTGTTTTCCATGCGTGGAGGTCCCAGACAAAGAAGAAAGAAACTCTACATCTCCCTTTCACTTCCTGCATAGCCCACAGTTTGCAAAGACATGGCCTTAAACTTATCTGCTCCCTGAATTTTAGTTCTCTGCCTGTGAAGAGCTACACCTGATGAAGACAGCTGCCACTCTTCATGGAGCATCTTCCATGTGATAAAACAAAATCTTGAAAAGTCAAGGTTCTGGATCACATGCAAATGCTGCAGAGACAGGCAGCTCTCTTTTTTCAGATTTAGCTCTACATGTGCAGAACGCTGCAACAGAGTTAGCACTCACTGTCCCTCCTGTGCTTACTTCAGTCCATTTGTAGAACATCAGGACAAGGCTTTAGTCTTTTGACAGCTGACTGCCGGGGTCCTCAGATTCTAGTCAAGGCTTTGTAAGGCATATGCCAGTGTCTTGGCTGATTGCATGCCCTCATTCATAACCTCGTTGCCTACCAGCTGGTTCTGTGTGTTCATTTGTTCACTCTCAATAACAGTTATCAGAGCTGGTTTGCTCTGACCATAACATCCAATATATTAGGGCCAATAATGCTTTGAAATGTAGTGCAAAGTCTCTGAAATTACTTTCATTCATTCATTCATTTGTTTTTCCCCCCAATCTCTCACTCTCTTCTTTCTTCTCCTCTTCTCCACATATAGGCATTCAGTGTAGTTTTTCAGAAAGCTGTTGCAAAAGCATCTCCAGATGAAAATCTGAAAGAGCGAGTTGCCAACCTCATTGATAGCATCACTAGCTCTGTGTTCCAGTATACAACTCGGGGACTGTTTGAATGTGATAAACTGACTTACATGGCCCAAATCGCTTTCCAGGTAAATAGAGCTGATCCCGGGCACTACACTTGCTAGCTGCTTTTTAGTATCCACAGAGGCTCCAGTTATAAAGTGTTCTTTCTGTCATGTTCCTGCTATACAATACAGTGTTCTGCCCATCAGCTGCTGAAAGGAAAATTATTTGACTCTTCTAGTGACAATCCAACTACAAACTCCATATTTCTCTGGGCAAATTGTGGTTGCGCTGGTGCTTTTGCTGTTGAGATTATTATTTGCCTTCATACTATAGTATCTAGGGGTGGTGTTAAGTTTTCGTGAAAACAATGAAATGGAAAATTGTAGCAATAGTACAGCAATTATAGCAACACAACTTATTGTATTCACAGCTTTCTAAAATGTCCCATTTTCAATTGCAATGGAATCCTACTTTTCATTTCCTCTGCAGTCTGTAGTAATTTCTCACACTGCCCCTGGCATACTGTCTGGGTTTCTCGTTACAGATACTTCTGATGAATAAAGAAATTAATGCTACAGAACTCGACTTCTTGTTACGATATCCTGCCCAACCAGGAGTCATCAGTCCGGTGGATTTTTTGTCAAATCAGTCATGGGGTGGTATCAAGGTAGCTCTTTTACCTCAAAATAAGCTTGCTGGTTAGATAATGGGGCTGGTAGGTAATGAAGCTGTCAAGTGGATTCAGAATACTTGATTCAAACAGTGCTGCTTGTTAGTGATTCCTTACCAAACCAGAGGGAAGCTTTGAGTAGGGGATCTTCAGGACTCTCTCCTTATATTATCCCACATTTTAATGTATAATTTAGATGAAGGTGATGGAATATAATCGGTCCTTATTGTATCTCTAGATGATACAAAACTAGAATGTGAATTGCTAACATTCAGAAGTCAAGATTACAATGGAAAAAATGCCTTGACAGAAATTGGGTAAAAATTAACAACATGAATTTTCCACAGATACAAATGTGTCTGGTTCCCTGAGGCCAGGTGAGGTTTGGGCTTGAGTTAGTTCCATGAGACTCCACAGGCTTTGTGATCAGATTCTTTTCCAGGAGCTGTTGGGTTTTCTAAGAGTCAGTTTACTGCCTCCCAAGTACTTGGCATGGCTGAGGTACACAGAGTTCTTATTTACCTGAGCTGGTCCAGAGACTGATTTCTCTATGGGTAAAATATATGGAAAGAGGAGTGCAAGAAGAAAAGAGTTCCTTGCCTGAACCTGCACCCCCCCCATTTCTGTTTAGATGTGAGACACAATTGACTAGAACTGCTGCATATGTGCTCATGGTGGCCATAATTGTGTCCAGCATTCAATGGGAGATGAATGAGAAGAAAATGAATGGTCACAAGAAATAATACTCCATCATTGTTCTTTTCTGGTCAGAACTTAGGTGGATGCCACACTTTTAGAAAGATGTGTGAAAACGCGAATGGGTGATTGTCACGGATATGGAAAATAAGACCCAGGAGGAAAAAATTGAAAGAACTCAGCATGTTGAACAATGGGTATGTGGGTGGGCATGATAGCTTTCTTCTGATACCTGAAGGGTTATCAGGTAGGAGGGAGCTGTTCTTTTCTTTTCCTAATGGTAGGATTAGATCTAAAGGGCTTAAGTTAACGGAGTGTTGATTTTGATTAGACACGAGTAGAAAGCATTTCATGGTAAGAGCAGCTTAACAATGACGTTGCATGCTGGAGGTCTTTAGATGGACACTGGACAGCTATTTTCTGGGCCTGCTTTAATTTTGGATTGATTAGGCCAAGCAGGAAATTGGACGAGATGGTTGACACCCCCCCCCCTTCTAACACCACAGTTCAGTGAAAAACTCACATTTGAGAAATGATGTCCTCAAATAGCTCCAGGTGCAGTGTTGGAATACAGTACGAAAGTAAACCATTTTACTAATGTCTAAAATGTCTCCCTCCAAATAAGGTATTTTGCAAAGATATGGTTAATTTAGCAGATAACCTAAATGCATTAGAAGAATAAAAACAAACTGGGCCTGTACTTGTCCACTGCCCCCAACACCTGCAGAAATATCCATTTCAACAGCAATATCAGCAAGCTGTTTTGCAGTATCCTCCACAGAAAGATAATGGAGAGCCTAATGATGCAGGAAAATAATCCACGAGAGCCAAATTTATCTCTTTCCTTGAAAAGAAACAACCACTTACATCTGTAAAACAGAGACTCCAAAAATGTATATATTTTTAGAAAAGGAAAGAGAGCTGGTATTTTCCTGCTTCATCAACTCCAGAAAGGTGTTTGACCCTATCTAACAACTTGAAGCTGAGACCTAAATTGCTAGAAAATGGAGTTGGGGGTGGGGAAATACTTTCATCATATTTATGCTCCAATCCATTAATTTAAGGATATGGATCAGCATCAAAGGCCGTTAAAGAAGAGAAAGGTGTAAAACAGGAAAGCAACCATAGACAGACATGATAGATGTTCTGACTGCCTTGGAATAGTCCTAAAATTCAAGGCCATGTTTCGAATAACTTGGAAGTTATATTTGCATATGACCTAGTCCTACTGTCACATAGTTAGGAGAGAAAAGGAACAAGTTTACAACACTTTGAAGATTCCTGAAATACAGAGGCAAAAATGAATGAAAACCACTGAAATAAAAACAAGGCTGAGCGAAGCCAAGAAAGCTGCTATTATGAAGCAATTAAGATTGAACATGCCTCCAGGTGTACAAGGTTTGCCTTCAGCAAGCTTAGCAAAAAGCTGTCAGAGCTCTGCAGGGGAATATTCTGACAGCCCAAGTGCACAGCCCCCATCGTATCATGTGCCACAAGGACAGAGAGTCTGAAGAATGGTAATTCCACCCTCAACCCCCCCGCCGCATTACTTATAGGGATCGATTGGAAGCATATTTTGAAATTAATGGGTTTCTTCCACCTCTTTAAAAGAAGATTTACTCTCCCAAATAATTTGGGGATTTTATTCATATTCTGAAGAAATGATCAGATTGAGGTAGTTTGAATCGGTTGCTTGCTTGTCTTTGCTTTGAGAGAAAATGAGGAAGTAGTTCGGGAATAAACTAAGGAACTCATTTCTTGGGAGCAATCTTGGAAAAATGTCTTAAGTGGCCCCAGAGAGATTTTTCTGCTGTAATGTCCCTAAAGCGGGGAAGCGTGTTCCACCTTGAGCGTTCTCTATCTTAAAGTAATGTGGCTGTCTGATCAAAATACGATAAGGAAAGGCAACTTGATTTTAAGAGGGCAAAGAAAGAAACAGGATATCTGGTATGTGATGCCACCACCCAGTGGATTAGAAGTAAGGTAAAGGTAAAGGTAAAGGTTCCCTTTGACATTTTCAGTCCAGTTGTGTCCGACTCTAGGGGGCGGTGCTCATCTCATTTTCAAGCAGTAGAGCAAGCGCTTGTCTGAAGACAGTTTCCATTGCCACTTGGCCAACATGACTAGGGAACGCTGTTTTACCTTCCCACCGAGGTGGTACCTATTTATCTACTTGCATTTACATGCTTTCAAGCTGCTAGGTTGGCGAGGAGCTGGGACAAAGCGACGGGAGCTCACTCCGTCGCGTGGATTCGATCTTACGACTGCTGGTCTTCTGACTCTGCAGCACAGGCCTCTGCAGTTTAACCCGCAGTGCCACCACATCCCTGGATTAGAAGTAAGGCACCAGTAAACAAAAGGAACACACTATAGGTTCAGACAACAGGTGCGAGATTTGGACACCTTAGAGCCAAAGATGATAATAACTGCCTCCTTCACAATTTCTGTACACAGGGCTGTTCAGGTTTAAAGAATGTTGTTGAAAAATTAAAGACTGGAATAGCATTGCTCATCTTCCCTGAAAAAGGTATTTTGAAGCGCAAATGTGTCCACTCTATTAATCTTCCTTTCAGCAGAAACTATTCTGGTATTTGGATGGTCACACTTTATTTTTAGCCCTTATATAAATAACTTAACAACATACTTAATATAGGTAACACAGAAGAAACTTGCTCTAGGCATGTATATGATGCGTGTCTAATTGTTTCTCTCTCTTCTACTACACACATGTGTGCACTCACACCCACAGTGACACACCAGTCTTGACGTGTGGCAAGAACTGTAATGCCTGAAAACTGCCAGCTGATCTTCCACAGTGAGTGGCACTAGGTCCCTTGTTCCTTGCTTTAAGGCCATTCCCTTCTCTCCTGCCTGCCGCCTTCCCACCAGTCCTAGAAATAACAACTTTCTACAGATTTTGAAACTCTGGCAACATTTCTCTCATATCACTAGCTTCTTCCCTCTTCTGCTGATCCCAGCCTGCCCCATACCCCTGCAACGTGATTTCTCTTCAAAAGAAGACCCAGCATCTCCAGGAACTGGTAGCAGCCAGAAACCACCAGTGCAGTGGCTCAGGAGAAACCTTGGCTCTGTGTGGAGGGGAGAATCTGCCCAGGATCTTGCCGGAGGAAGAGGACAGGTCTGCTCCCGAGGCAGAGCTGGAACAGCCCTCAGGTCTTCTGGAGCAGCAGCACTTGAAGAAGCAGTCCAGGGTCCTCATACTCAAGAGAAGTGCCCAGTTGCAGCAAAGGATGCCTTATCAGTTAGGGGCTTCTGTATGTGTTGGAATGCTCCTCTCAAGGGGTGTGTGTGTGTGTGTGTGTGTGTGTGTGTGTGTGTGTTTTTTCTGGAAGCCCAGTGTGTGTCTGTGTCTGTGTCTGTGTGTGTTCTGGAAGCCCAATGATGGGCTACAGCAGAACCATGGGTGGTGTTTTGGCCCATCCTGCTTTTAAAAGCCAGAGTTTCAGGCTGGAGTTCTTGCTAGAGCAATGTCAGTGTGCCAGCTCTGGACCCAGTGTCCCTTCTTTCCCTAGCAATCCTTCTGATAGAATTTCTGTAAGTACCAGGGAACTAACAGGGACCTTCTGCTTGTTTGTTATTGCACTCTCAGATCTTTGCTAGCCTTGACTCTTAGTTGCTCTAATCTCACGGCTGATTCGCTTCCTAATCTTTGGTCATTATTTTGTTGCATTGGTTTAGTATTTTTAATAGTCTGTCTCCTCCCAGAGAACTTTGGTGAACAGATAGTGCAGATGTGCAAAAACCAGAACATCTGTGCCAGATTCTGAAAAACCTTTAGAGCTTATCCTTGTCTCATTACTTGTCACCTCAGTCTTGGCCATCTTTCAGGGCCTCAGCCTCAGTACACTCACCAGAAAGCCTGGGTAATGAAAGGACTTTCTATTTTCATTTTTAAAAAACGAGCAGCATCACTGATGGCTCAAACTTTAAATATTGGTTTATCAGCAGAACTAAGATACAACTCAACATAAAAGAAAACAAAGAAAAAATATACATATACGTACCTTAAAACTTTTTTTAAAGTAGGCATCTTTCTTGAGCAACACACCACTTATTTGTAAACACTGAAACCTAATAAAACAACAACAACAAAAATGGTACTACAGGTAAGTTCATGAATTGTCATTCAAAGGTAAGAACAAAAAACTAAATCACCTCTAAGACAGAGAGATATGTAGAGGCTTCAACCCACCAATATTGCTGCTTTTTTAAACATAGTAGTAGATTTAGTTCTGGGAAGCTAAGAATACCTGCTGATATTTCTTCTGTTAGTATATACA